GTCGCTGGCCGATGCGTTGGCGGGGAGCTCGGCGTCGGATGGTGGGCTGCCGGAGGGGCTGAGGTGGTAGTTACCCCTTCTTCCTTTCATTTTTTTAATTTTATTTTTAATTTTTTTTTTGTATGGGGAGCAGAGAGAGAGAGAGAGAGAGAGAGAGAGAGAGAGAGGTTTTGGGAGGTGAATGATGACGAGATGAAAGAGCTAGTGAGGGTTTGGTTGAAGTGTGTATTTATGGGAGAAAAGTTCGGATTCGGATCCTCTCCACTACAAAAAAATAGTGGAGGGATCACTACATAATCACAGCCATTGATTATCTAGTTGATGGTTATGATTTTTTCTTTTAGTGCAAATTAGGAATGAGTGCAATACACAGGGGTATGATAAGTGTTAGATTTAGATTGTATCATAACCACCTACTAAATAATCAATGCTTAAGATTAAAAATAGTGGTCTCTCCACTACTTTTTTGTAGTGGAGAGGATCCAAATCCGAAAAGTTCCTATAGATGGCTCTCTGTAGAAAGGATTTAGATCCTCTCCACTACAAAAAAATAGTGGAGAGACCACTACTTTTAATCTTAATCGTTGATTATTTAGTAGGCGGTTATGATACAATCTAAATCTAACACTTACCATACTTTTAATCTTAATCGTTGATTATTTAGTAGGCGGTTATGATACAATCTAAATCTAACACTTACCATACCCTCGTGTATTGCACAATCTAAATCTAACACTTACCATACCCTCGTGTATTGCACTCATTCCTAATTTGTACTAAAAGAAAAAAAAATCACAACCATCAACTAGATAATAATCAATAGCTGTGATTATGTAGTGGTCCCTTCACTATTTTTTTATAGTGGAGAGGATTTCCCTCCCTGTAGAAAATGATGTATGAGAGAGGAAGTAAAATGCTACACAATATACATCATCAATTTTAAATCGATACAATCAGTCAGTAGAACTGGTACAATTAGAAAGTATTAATAAAGTTATACCAAATTAATACAATTAGTATATGAATCTGAACCAATTAGATCGATTTCAAAATTGGTAACATGACACATCTTGCATTTCATTTCATTTCATCTTTATATGATTTTCTACAAAAAGTATTCCATAGATC